CCCCCCACCTCCCTCAGTACCCACAGCCCCATCCGGTTTTGGGCAGCTTTGGAGCCACTGCCAGCCCCAAATTCTGCTGTGGCAGCCGGTCTGGGGAAAAGGGCTGGGGGGAGCCAACAGGTATTTCTTTCTCTGTATTTTTACATTTGAAGCTGTTCTCAAAAGTTGTCGCGTGGAACAGGTGGAAAGTCCAGACTTGGCTATCGTGCTGCTGTTGTAACACATCACATACATGGAAATACATCACAGGTTTTGTCTGTGTACACATCTTATGTGCGTGCACAACAACAGGTATTTCTTTCTCTGTATTTTTACATTTGAAGCTGTTCTCAAAAGTTGTCGCGTGGAACAGGTGGAAAGTCCAGACTTGGCTATCGTGCTGCTGTTGTAACACATCACATACATGGAAATACATCACAGGTTTTGTCTGTGTACACATCTTATGTGCGTGCACACGCGTAACGTACAAACATGTTGCAGCCTTTTGAGTGGTTTGCCTAGTATCGTGTTTTAATACCACCTTTTTTTGTGTTTGATCATCCTGCTTCTAATTGTTGTTAGTTCAAACAGATGATTGAAGAAGAGCTGAAATTTTTCTTCCACAAGGAATTCCAGAAGAATTCTTTAATGTTTTTATGTTCTTTACTCTATATGGTAATTCTGTCATGTTTCTTTCTTTTTTTTCTACCTTTCATCTTCACTGTGAGTGGAGTAGATATAGATAGGTATTAATGTGCATGGAGTTACTGTGTGAGGGTCTGGGTTTTTATCACCAGTAAGAGTCTGTACTAGCTGTTTAACTTTGAAGAAAATATAACAGATGATGTTTGTTCTCTAAATGTTAACTGCTGTAGATTTGCAAGACTTGCAGATCATGTGCCTGTCCTATTTTTCTTCTCAGTTTTTATCTCTTTGTCAATTTGCTTTCAGGCTCAGCCATGTTTAGTAACGGGCATTAACTTTCATGGAATTGAGATTATTTATGCCAATGATAATATCTCCCTTCAAGTATGGGTTTTCCTTTGAATTTTTTAAAAACTGTTTTATTAACTTCTTATTAGTTTTCTGACTCTCTCTCCTAAAACAAAAGCCACAGGTCTATTAGAAGTTTTCTCCACGTAAGTAGACCCTTTGGTGATATTTTATTTAAAAGTTCGGAGGTCTGCAGAGAGACTTCCGAAACATCGCTGCTAAACATAGAGTAGAAAAGTCCAGGTTTTGTTACTTACAGATAACATGCGTGTAGAGGAAGAAGAATATCTGAAAGGTTTTTTTCATCTCGAGGAAAAATATTTCTAACTTACGTTATTGAATACATGTGTATACCTTACAGTAGTTGAATCGTTATCTCTTGCAGGTTCAGGAGTGGAAAAATGAAGGCAGTAAAAGATACATGTGCACTGGTCGGCCAGGTTGGTTAACTGTATCGCTTCGTGTTGGAAAGTATAAGAAGATTCACAAGAACATCATGATCAACTTGATGGATGTTCTGGAAGTGGACAGTGAAAGACAGGTAACAAATACCTCACAAAGTTTTAATAATACTAAAGTTTACATCTTTTTACTATATTTACAGCTAGAGCAGGCATTAAATTCTGTAAAGAAGAGTCGATTTTTGTTGAGGGGAAAAAAAAAAAGAAATACAAATCCTAGTATAAAATATATTAATATCCCTGTACGTATGTAATGGATTTTTTTATTATCTTACTTGGACTTACATGTTTGCTTGCAATTTTGAGACTTGGCTGTGCCAGTTGGAGCATAGCTTCCTCCCAGCTCTAAAAAGGTCTGTCAAAAAGGCTTTCTCTTTACACGGAAGTCCTCTAGGTCTTTTTAAAACTTGAATCCAGTACCTGAGTTCCTGCTCTCTGGACATACAGAGGCCACAGTCAAAACCAGAGCTCTGAATTCCTTGTAGTAGTGCTTATGCCAAGTATCACTAGTAAGTAACTGGTAATTTTTTTTAACTTAAAACTGATTTAAGTTTATTTATATTAATCATGTTGACCTCAGGCATTTTCCTAAAACAGCTAAAAAACTTAAAGTCCTGTCAGTGCAGGTTTTAATGTAGATAGTACCAGAGGGAAGAAAATGTACCTACCTGACTTAGAGCTAGGCACTAGTTACGGCTGATGTGCGAATTCTTACACATTCTGCAGAGCAGTCATCTGCATTCCCTAGCTTTTCGTAAGGTGTTGCAGATATGATTTGGGGAAGCAAATCATAAGCTTTACTCTTGTATTTAGATTTTATCCTAATGCCTAGATGATTTCTCCATAAATATGGAATATAGCAAGAAAGAATTTGTTGTTGTTGTTGTTTAAACTCTTGGATAAATTGAATGAACAAAGACTTCTTGTATAAGCAAATCCACTGTCCATTCACTTCAGCTGGGGCTGCCTACCCTTATATGGTATTTCAGCCTGCTTTCCAGTGTTGGAGAAGATAGTTTTTTCTAAATGCTGTTCGTTCTTCGCTAGATAGGCTTGGTCAGTAGTGTTATGTCATATAGCCAGAGCTTTGGTATCAATTTGTTGTACCAGAAGTGTAGACTGTAAATATGTACACAGAGAGTCAACTCAAATTTACTGCATATGGGAAGATCTGATTAATGAAATTAATGATTAACGTATCATGGTTATCAGTTGATAAGTACTGCTGTAAGAAGTAACTGTTGAAGAGCTGTAAACAGTCGAGACACCAAATGTCAGGTTCTGCAGTAAGTGCTTGGATCGTTCTATTTAAAAAAAAAAAAACCCACAGCATATGGAATTGCTTAGTTTTATGCGCTAAAGTATGAAAGACCAGACTGATTTGTGTTTTAGGGGACTGAGCAACAGGAGGTTGAAGCAGAAGAGGAATCACTAAACAGTTTCAACTATTTTTAGTACTGCTTTTGGGAAAGTAAATCTCTGAATTCTGATAATAGACGGAAGTACAATCCAGTTAGCCGTATTTTGCCATCCTTAATGCTGAGCATTTAATTAATGCTTAGGGGGTTGGGTTTGGGGGGTTTTTTTGTTTCCTTTTTAGGTTGTCCTTGTGGAACCTTTGGTCACCATGGGTCAGCTGACTGCACACCTAAATCCTATGGGCTGGACTATTCCTGTGGTACCAGAACTCGATGATCTCACAGTAGGTAAGGGTTGTTATGGTGACAAGAAACTGATTTTACTGTATTTTTAATAGCTTTTCATGCAGTAACACATTGAATTTTTTCAAAGGTTCCTAAAATGTTCTTTTGAACTTTGTATTCTCTTACGGCATTTATGTTATAGGCGCTTCCCTTTTTTTTTAAATAGTCGTAAAGGCCACACCCAGAGCTTCAAAATGAAGTTTTGTTAAACCACTTTCGTCTTGAAGTGTGTTTCATTTGATATGTTTTATGCTCTCTTGATAAGGTGGTCTGATCATGGGAACAGGCATTGAGTCTTCGTCCCATATCTATGGACTTTTTCAACATACCTGTGTGGCCTATGAGCTTGTTCTTGCTGATGGAAGCCTTGTGAGATGCTCACCAGTAAGAGACAATGTTATTTTGCTATCATTTATAATGTCATTGACAGTTACCAGTATGGGCATATGATTCAGTATGACATACTTTTTTCAGACTGAAAATTCAGACCTATTTTATGCAGTGCCTTGGTCTTGTGGTACTCTGGGTTTCCTGGTTGCAGCAGAAATAAAAATGATTCCTGCCAAGAAATATGTAAAATTACATTATGAGCCTGTGAGAGGACTGCAGAAGATTTGTGAAAAGTTTACTGAGGAATCTAAGAAAAAGGAGAACGGTTTTGTGGAAGGACTTGTATATTCTTTGAACGAAGCGGTCATCATGACAGGAGTCTTGACCGATGAAGCTGAACAAGACAAGGTAACTAACGGGAAGTTATTGACTATGAGAACATCTCCTCCAAATTTAACTGAAGGTGTCCTACTATATGTCAATAAAAAACAGAATCGTTATATGATCGGAACAATCTTTTATTGTTAATGTGGGATAAAGGGCTAAAATATACTGTCCATCAGTATATTTTAAATTATGACTCTTTATTACTAAAAATATTAGCGCTTGTACTGAGACTCTCTTCAGCTGGTAAGAGATGATCCATTGATTTTTAATTATTCTAGCCTTTGCATTGCAGTACTTAGGGAGAAAGAGAAGTACTTTGTCTGATATACAGAACAATATTGTTTAAAACTGCAGTTATTCAAAGTAACTCTTTTTTTTTTTCCAGCAAGCTCTTAATACGGTTAATACTGGTAAGACACATCAGGGAAGTTTTCTGGAGGGACGTGCTGTCTCTTTGTTATATCTCTCAGCCATGAGGCTTTGGATTAGTGATAGGTTGAGAGATCAGTATTTTAGGAATCACAGTCTGTCACGTTTCTGGCCCCTTAATGTGCCTGCAGCAGGCAAGCCTTATTTAAATTTAACCGTAATGAGAGGAGAAGTAAGAGAGAGCTGTGCATGTGGCCAAAGAAGGAGAAACAAAGATTCCCAACATCATCTGAGACAGTCTCCTTTGAACTATCACAGACAGTACAACATTGATGCTTCATGCTAAAGGAATTTTGGGGTGTAACTATTACTTGTGTTGGTAATTGCTAATGAATATACATTTCCTTTCTTATAGATAAACAGAATTGGCAACTACTACAAGCCATGGTTCTTCAAGCATGTGGAAAAGTATTTGAAAGCTGACAGAACTGGAATAGAATACATTCCCGCAAGGCATTATTACCATAGGCATACCCGTAGTATCTTCTGGGAGCTCCAAGTAAGACCATCTTCCGGATTAAAATAACAGCTGCTTTTTCCCCACATAGATACCATGTACTTTCTTCCACTTGCCAACACTTCTGTCTTTCAAGGCAGAAAGGATCCAGTTGAGTTCGTGGCAAATATTAAAGTTATATAGTGGGGCAATACAAATCTAAAGGCGCTTCTTTATACATGAATATGGTATTATGTCGTTAGTTTCCAAGTTACGTTTTAGTGCTTTTCTGAATTTAGACCTGAAGTACGTGTTTTAGCATTAAACCTCTATAAAGTGGTTTCTAAGACAGTGGAAAAACATGAATGCAGAATAATGCTTGAAAATAGGCCCTGCCTAAATTCATAATATTAGTTATGCAGTAGGATCATTACTTTGAATTTATAAGCGTCTTTTTCACGTTGTGCATTAACACAAAACTGTATTTGGCATTCTGAAAGTTTCCCATTGCTACATTTAGGACTCACTGGAGTGAGACACCAAATCTTTTCAGGTGCCAGAGAAGTTAAACAGGAGTTGGCTATGCAGAGAGTACTTAAAATTTTAAGCTTTAAGTACCAAAGTACTGTCTTCTGGTTCACTTAGATGTTCTTACTACTACATTCTCTTTTTCCTTCCTGTTTAAAGGATATCATTCCTTTTGGCAATAACCCTATTTTCCGTTACCTGTTTGGCTGGATGGCTCCTCCAAAAATCTCTTTGTTAAAACTGACCCAAGGAGAAGCTATTCGAAAGCTGTATGAGCAACATCACGTTGTGCAAGACATGTTGGTCCCAGTGAAGAGCCTTGAAAAATCTGTCCAAACCTTCCACGTTGATCTTAATGTAAGAACACGCATTTTTAGAATGCAGTAAATCTTAGATTGTGTGTAATATGAATGGTGACTACTGGTCTTAAGACATAAAACTCTGGTCATGATCATATCGTGGGGATTATGTGGTGCTTCACGAGTCTATGATGTGAGGCTGCAGAAGGAATGAACATAGCTCTCTGAAAAAGGGATAAAAACATGAGATCCAAATTCTAGTAGAAGGCTAAGACTTCTATAAGACTTAATGACTTTGTAAAGCTCGAACTGATTTTTTGTTCACCTGAAATCACTGGCTGTCTCACTGAACCCAAGCTGTGGGAATGAATTTCCTGGTCTGGCTTTTGTTTCTGATTTTATTCTAGTCAGTATAAGAAGTACAGACTCCTCAGTTTCAGTTTTGGGCTGAGCTGGAAAAGAAAACTCTTTGTTTTCTCTTTACTCAGAATGTTTATTCAGTTGTTTCTTTGGGATCAGGGATGTTGTTTTCACTTCAGTTTTAAAGGTACTCCATCCAGCTCTTAAGGTATTTAAGAGGGGGATGTAATTCCTGGAGGAATACCGCACTTATTTTGAGCATCTCAATTGGTTTGCATTACAGGCATTAGAAGGTGGATCTAAGAAACATAGCAAGAGAACTGGAAAGGAAGATGTGTATAAGTTTACATCCCAAACTGTGACAAAGTCCTCTTAAGTTTTCGTTTTGTCACCTTTATTAATAGATAGTTTAAATACTTGCTTTGTTAAAAATTAGTGATAAAATGTTTTCTTCCCTCTGGCAGGTATACCCTCTTTGGTTATGTCCTTTCATATTGCCCAATAATCCTGGTATGGTCCACCCAAAAGGGGACGAAGCAGAATTGTATGTGGATATAGGAGCTTATGGAGAGCCCAAAACAAAACAATTTGAAGCCCGAGCTTCAATGAGACAAATGGAAAAGTTTGTAAGAAGTGTTCATGGGTAAGATTCCCACTCTTTAGAATAGTAACAGTGCTGTGTAACTTAAAACTGTGTAGTTTAATCATACTTACATAATACAGCAACATTTTAACATTGCAATAATTTAACAATCACAATAATTGAAAGCTGATTTTAATTACTGATTTTGATGTTACAGTTTTTAAATATGGCTGCACTTCATGGCTTGATTGCACACACAGAAAAGTATCCTCTTTAGCTCTGGGAGCAGAAAGAGTCTCTTCTGTAGCAAAGTATGTGCACGCGGACGGGTACAGATGTGCCTGAGCACATCTGCTGGTATCTGCGCTAACTGAACACAAACAAGTCCCTGTCTAAAGCTGCGTTATTGTGGGTTGGTGACCGCTCTCTCAGCAAGGCTGGCAAGCCCGGTACTTGGGAAGGCAGCTGCTGAGCTTTCATACTGAGGCTGACTTGTTTCCGGGCGTTTCAGAACCAAGGCGGAGGAAGTGCTGGTGTGTCTGCAGTTGGCCGCCGTCCTTTCAGTAATCCCACAGGCTATTAAAGTTTGGATGGCTTCCCTGCCTGCCCTGCGGGCTGTTCTGCTCGCTGAAGTCCTTGCAGTGTCGTGCTGCAGCTCTGCCCTGTGCTTGTGCTGATGTGTCAGTGTAAGTAGGGCTTACGAAGGGAGGCAAGCCTTGGTTGCTCTCTGTAATCCCTGTGCTGTGGGAGTCTTTCCTGTCACACAGCTGGGACTTTCAGAACCTCCCTTTCACTGCCCTGATTCATATTACATAGGACCACAGAAGGATTCGGTTATTTACCCACCGTCTGTCATAGGCTCGTTCCAGTCTAATTTTCCATAGTATTGCCAGAGGAAAAGCAGTTGCAAACTTGTTTCTCAGGAACAAAAAACAACTGCACGATATTTGTGGCATCTATATAATTTATCTGCATTTTTGTTTTGACCTACTTCTCATATAGCAGTGGTTATATCCCATGTGGCTTAGTAGCAATGGCAAATCTGCTTCAAGGTGATTTGGGGAGTGTAAATGACTTCTAGCTAGAAGTGATATGCCAGAGAACAAAGCAACTGAAAGTTAATTTTAAGCTTTTTTTTAATTAACTTGAAATTAAGCTTTTAATTTAAAGCTTTTTACCAACAAAGTTTTCTCTGTTCTGTGCCTGTCATTGGGACAGTCTTATAGTTTCATAATTACACACACAAGACCAGAGCTTTTATGAAATAGTTTGTGTTTTACTACTGTACTCTGATATTAGCTATATTTTAGAGAGAACAGTATGAAAGTAAGGAAGAGTCCACAGCTAATTAATGATTTCATTTATTTTTGTAAATGGTCCTATGTTACACTGTTTCATTTACAGTATAAATTTATATTCTTGGCCTGATCTGATGTGGAGTCTTTTGCGTTCCCAGTTCTGTTTTCAACATCCAGTTCAAAGAAATCCGAAAAAGTCAAAGCAAAAAATCAGTGCATCTATCTTGAATGCATTTTGTAATGCTGAATAATCTGAGAAGCCATAATTGTATTTCCATTGATACAGTGGAAAAACGTGCAGAAGACATGGAGGGGTTTTTTTGGTTTTGAAACTGAAATTAAAAGCTTTTGAATGGAGGAAAAAGAAAGCATGCTTTCAAAACCAGTTAAAGGGAGAGCGCATTTAGGGTGGGAATATTTATTTGTCAGGGAGTATTTAGGTCAGGTTTGATTCTATCTCAGAGCATGGCATAAGACTCCCAATTTGGAGGAGCTTTTGAAGTTCTCCCTAGGCTTGTGCTTCTGTGAAGACAAGTTGTTAGAACATATTAGAAAATTTGATTGCAGACGGTTAGTAAATCTGAACAGGAATAACTGACTTAGAGGTTTATGTTTTAAGCTTCTCTCCCTTTCTCTTAGGAGGGTAGCAAAACTAATAGAAGTGCCAGTACACTGACGGCTAAAGACATGTTCTGAACCAAATTTTAAAAATAATGTTTGTGGTGATTGCTTTCTCTTCCTGTCCTCCCCTCCGCCACCAAAAGGGCTGTGTAGGTATTCTGCTGTTTTCACCACTACCTGTTATTTTCTCTTGGAAAAGAGATCACGATAGTGTTAAATCTCCAAAATATAATGGGCTGTGTGCTCCAGCATAATTCATAGGAACAATTATATTTACTTGTTTTTAAAAAGCATGTTTTGATGGGTTTTGTTGAATATTTGCTATTTATAGCTCACCCTGAAATCTTTTTTTCTCTCTGAAGTCCTGTGGCACAAGTAATGCTGAATCTCTTGTGTTTGGCTTTTTTGTTTTCTCCTTCCTCCAGTTTCCAGATGCTGTATGCAGATTGCTATATGACCCGTGAGGAATTCTGGGATATGTTTGATGGTTCGTTATACCATAAGCTGAGGGAGCAAATGAATTGCAAGGATGCCTTTCCGGAAGTGTATGACAAAATTTGCAAAGCTGCAAGGCACTGAGCCTGAATAATCTGCTAATCAAGCAATCAGGGAAAGATGGGTTTACCTATAGTTATATTTACTTGTTTTTAAAAAGCATGTTTTGATGGGTTTTGTTGAATATTTGCTATTTATAGCTCACCCTGAAATCTTTTTTTCTCTCTGAAGTCCTGTGGCACAAGTAATGCTGAATCTCTTGTGTTTGGCTTTTTTGTTTTCTCCTTCCTCCAGTTTCCAGATGCTGTATGCAGATTGCTATATGACCCGTGAGGAATTCTGGGATATGTTTGATGGTTCGTTATACCATAAGCTGAGGGAGCAAATGAATTGCAAGGATGCCTTTCCGGAAGTGTATGACAAAATTTGCAAAGCTGCAAGGCACTGAGCCTGAATAATCTGCTAATCAAGCAATCAGGGAAAGATGGGTTTACCTATAGTTGTCAGTATATCCTTTAAAAAAAAAAAAAGGCTTTATTGCTGTCCAAATAAGCTCATTCTTGCCAATGTTTTAAAGGTATGAATTCCTGCTTTATAAACTTATGTTTAGTATCTGTTAGTATGCTTTAAAACTGTTTTTCCAAGCTCAAAGTGATTGTTTTTTAAGAAATCTTAAGTGCTAACTTTTGTGTCTTGGATCTGATGTAGTGACATAGGTGAATTCATCTAATTTCAGCCATAAGGAAAATAGTTGGCAAAGATGAAGATACTCTTAAGTTACACCAGCTGTTTACTGTAGTTGTATTTTAAAATATTGTTGAAAATGATTAAGAGGTCACAGAAATAGGTGCCAGAGTTGAAAGAATTGTCAAATTAATCATGAGGTTAAAAACGTTTGCCTGCAGTCAGTAACTTGTAGCACAGTACTATAGTCTTCACACTGTACAGTACTATATGATATATGGTACTGTACCCTTTGGGTTATACTGTACTATATGGCACTATAATCTCAATGGAGCAGTTAAACTTGCTCACAATTGCTTCAGTTTCCAAGCTGAGAATTGAAGTGTGAAGAAAATCCTTTTTACTTGTGCCTATCAGATTTGTACTGATTTTGATTATAGGTTTTAGGGACTTTTGTATTGGTTGACATTGTTTTTCCTTCCCAAAGTAGCAATGCTCTGGCTTCCTAGACTACTGAAAAAATCGCTGCTATTTCATATAAGCAAGTATTATTTTCATTTTTTTACATGTGTCAATTTATTTGGATTTTTTGGTTTTGTTTTTGGGGGAGTTTTGCTTAATTTTAGTGCCTTATAAGTACTCAGTTGGAGGAAGTGATAGGTCATTTCAGACCCTTCTGTCCTGGCCAGCAGGAGGAGGAGGTGTGTCCTGTTGTAACAGTTTAAGCCTTTGTTTATACAAGATCGGAGAAAGTGGCTATGGGTAAGAAAAGCTCTGCTTGTGGACAGGCTTTGGTTCTGACTAGAGTAAAATTTTTGCTTTTCGTTTTAGCTGGATTAGTTTGATAGGCTCTGTCAAAGGACTGCTTCAGTCACCTGGAGAGGAAATCAATAGTACTGTTCAGTTTCCCCTTCTGCTACCCCCTAACGTAGACGGCACAGTCACACTTTGTACAATGAAATGTGTGAGTGTTGAAATGCTTTGACCCTGTATTCAGAAACATGGGTCTAAACCGAGTCCATGTCTTGTCCAAGCAGTACTTAAAATTGTTACTTTAAACCTTACTGAGCTTGAGGCAGAAAAAAGTAATGTTCTTGAGGGCTGTGTAGGGGGTAATATGAAGAACTTCTTGAACAGTTGCCAGAGGGAAGCTTTGTATTTTTTTTTCTTTTTTATTTGAGTGCTCAACCAATGATTTATTTATTGATAGATGGATGTTCATGATCCAGATGAAACCAATGATAAAGCAGTAATGAACAAACTTGGCCTGTCACTCAGTGACACACGCTGGGCAAGTTGCTTGCAAGTAAGGTAGCCCTTAAAGTCCTGCATAGGGGACTGGTAGCAGTAGCAGCTTGCCGAGGGGAGACGCAGCCAATGCAGAGCTCTTGCAGAGCTGCTCAGACCATGTAGCTGGCCAGGCAGAAGTGGGAGCAGGCGGGAGGCAGAGCTGTGTCAGTGATCCAGGAGTGTTTGCTACGCTGCTCCAGGCTTCAGGATACAAAGGAAACGGAGTTGTAACCTGCCTTCCTGCCCCGTAAAAGGAGCAGCACAAGAGCATTTTCCTTGTCCCTGTGGCAAAGCTGTGATTTAGACCATTGCTTGTAAGGTAATCTGCACAGAGCAAGAATTGGTTTGATTAGTTTATCAAAGGGTAATGTTAAAACAACTAGAGATATGCAAATGCTTTTACTTAAGCTGTATATCTTTCACTTACGTACTGATGTTCTCTAGGTATGCATTGTATTTGTTTTTTCACTTCTTAAGTTATCAGCAAACTTGGTATGACATGATCTGGTATGGCACTCTAACTGTGACTATACCAATCACATACATGCACATGCATAACTGCTGGTGGTCTTGAAATTTTTCGTTGTATGGGCTGTTCAAAATAAAAATAACCAGTGTACTGTTCAGTGGCGTGTCATAATGAGTGATTACTTACTTCTTAACAGTTTTTTTTTTTTTTTCATGTGCTTACTGTATTGTTGAAAGTGGCCCATGATCTACTGAGAAGAGCTGCACTCTGGGTAGGAGGCCTGACGTGTGATGAGGTTGTCGAGATAGGAGGATCCTAGTGCTGCAAACGGCTCTGGGAGAAATGTTATTGAAGGCTGTGGTTGCACCCTTATCTCTACCCCAAAACACGCCTGTACAAAGCAAGCAATTCTTTTTTGGTCCTGACTTAGGCTGCATTTCACAATTCTCCTTTTTGTTGCCCCAGAAGTATTTCTATAGCCTACACTCACCCACATCACGATTCAGGCGTTTCCCTTCAGAGACCTCCTTTTCCCTTTGCTTGCCTTTCTATTACAATAATCAGCATTTCTTTAAATCACTGCAGTTTTACCTGTGTTCAATTATCTCTCCCACCAAAGGGTAATTGTAGATTAATTAGCATACTTAATCTGCCATAACTAACATGTAATTACACCTACATTTAATTATTCCAGTCTGGGCTAAACACTGCTCTGAGACACAAAGACTAACTCTAAATGAACCAGTTTACTCACAGTGCAGTTGTGGCCTCTCTTCATTACCACTAACAAAGCTTTCTGTTCATTTCGCTTTCTTCACTGCTTCTAGGTTTTAATAGCCTACACAATTTGGAATGATGACACTAAATCCCCCCTAATTCCCAGCAGCTTTTCCTGAACGTTTGCATTGTTGATCCAAGTGCAGCTGTATGTTACAGCTTGTAATTAAGATACTTGTGCACAACTAGTTCAAAGGTAGCACAGGACAGGTTTGTGAACTACAGTTGCAGAAGGCTAACTACTTTCACTTGCTGTAACAGCTACCTCTGAGGAAGCATCACCAGTTGAGCTGTACAGGTGAGCCTTGGGGTATTCTTGCAGTAAGCAACAGAACAACCATGAATTACAACACACAGGATGTTTTTCATCACTGCCGCAGGAATAACAAACGCATGCAACTTCTTTAAGTAGCGCAGTTCAGTTGGAAAGGAAATATTTAACACTGAATGAGCTGTGCGTGCCAGCAAAGCTCCCTGCGGTGGGATACGGTTTCCAACATCCTCTTCTCAAGCGTGTCATTTCTACACAAGCCAAGGTTGAAGTAATGAATTACTCAAAAAAGTCTGTGTATTGTTTGTCCAAGGAAGGGCATTTTATTAGCACAGAACAAGACAAGTTGTTTCCTGGTATTGAATTTTATTCCATGTTGTAAGTATTTTCATCTATGCAGACTCATCCACTGGTGTGTTCACAACTTATTTGCAGTTTTCCTTATTCATGGTTTTCACTGCTTTCCAGCACCATCTTAAGTTCAGAAAACAGCAGTGATTGCTTCAGAGGTATCTGGGCAATGCGGAGCAGCAATCAAATCATTCCAGTTGTTTTTGATAGAAGGCTTGAGCCGCTCACTGTGAAAAGAGGATGCAATTCAGTGGGCTCAACTTATTGATTTGGTTAATCTTGTTAGTCTTAATGAGCATGGAGGTGAGCAGAGCTCTTAAAAGCCTGGCTATTCCCTTGAAAGTACTGCTTTAGCTTGAAAAGTGATTTTGGGACTAGTGCTGTTTGATCATGGAGCTCCATTCAGTGTGTTTGAATTCCAAGTCGCGCTCGTTGTTCAGACTGTTTTTTACACCTACTGGAACTGCACAATTAACAAAGGTGGGCAGCGTTGAAAGCTGGATTTGCTCTTGCCTCCTCCTTCCTCAAAAGATCAGTTAACCAATGCGTAGCGTCCCCCCTGAAAACTGCCCTCAATTATATTCAGCTATGACAGGTTTATAACTACTGTCTGGAGGTTGAGAAAGAAAAACTAACCAGGCCTTCGCGGCGCTGTTGGCCCTTAGCGCAACCACAGCAGGCTGCTAATCTCGGGCGCAAGCAAAGGTGAAAGCAGAGGGCTATCCCGAGGTCTCACATTAGTATAGTTCCTAACGGCTTCACAGGGCTTTCATCCTGGCAATTTCAAAGCCCCTAACAAGGCTCGCTGCCATTGCCCTCTTCCTTCTCCAAATAGGTAAACTAAGGCACAGTATGCAAAAGTGATTTTCATTGGAGGCTGCTGAGCAATCCAGTGCCAGCGCCGGGAACGCAGCCCAGACAGCCTGCTTACCAACACAGCGTCCTGTCCTCTTGCAGGCTGCTGCCTCTAACGCAAATGAAAACTTTTTGCAGCTCCACTGCGTGCAGAGTGCATCCCATAAGGTGAGAGCACTGCCACCTTAGTACCTGTAAAGTGCCTTGATAGCCAGTAATCCAACCCCCTTACCTGGTGGGGAAGCACTCACGTCTCCTCGCTTTCCTGGGGGGGCAGCAGACAGCTAAATTGCCTATTCCCAGAGGGAACCTGTGGTGGTGCTGGCAAGCATTGCTCAGTCCCAATCCAGTGCTCTAACATGATCGTTCCTCTGCTCTTTAGCCTCTCGCTTCAGTTGTAAAGTTTCAGTATCATGCACTCGGTCTCCTGAGACCTGCTCAGGGCGAATGCTCTTCCTGTAAGCCAATATGAAACCCCTCGGAGCAGCCGTTGTACACCAGACTTACAGCAAGTAGGCATCCCGCTCCAGGTTACTCAGGTACCGCCGTGTTTCACACTGGTACAGGGACTGGTACCTGATCTTGCAAGGATATTTCTCGTGTCTGGTGATGTTGTAGCGACCAGCACCTACAGGATTCTGGAAGGAGAGGGTCACATGTGGTTCCTCATCATCACAGAGCCAACATGGATGAGGCAACTGAGGGCAAAGGCAGGAGGGCTTTACAGGAGCAGGCCTTCAGTTGCAAAAAAATACAACATGTACCAGGTCTAGGTTGCAGGGGAGGGAGGAGGAGGCCTGTTAATCGGTGTTAGCCTGGGCAGTGCCCTTCACAAGCAGCTGCTCTAGTCACAGCGGTCCGCAAAAAAGTTGGGCCTGATTAACTCTGCTGGCTCAAATGTGCTCCCCGGTTGCCTACCGCTAGCTATAGTCAAGGGCTGCTTTATTGCAGCCTCGCCACTGAAATGTAATCTGTTGGCTTCCCCCAGCAATTATAAAGATGTCTTCATCCTTGACCTCTTTCAAGTTGCCTGTTCCCCACTCAGCCACATAAAGGAAAGAAGCCACATGGAAGTCTGTTCCTCGCTCCTAGCCAAGGTGGACTATTTAAGACTAAAGCTTTCCCTGTCTGCTTTGAGCCCTTTAGGCTTTGTTCTAGCTCTCCGTGGGGAAGCTGCAAAGATGAATGCAGTCTAAGAACAGGTACTAAGGGAAGGGCTCATACCTGCACTGGCTCTTCAGCGTGTTGCTGTTGCTGCTAGAGGAAATACTGGCTTTTAAGCAGCAGAATATATAACTTTCTAGGAGGATACATGGAGCTCCTAGCACCTGAAAGAACTCAAATCAGCAGGTAACCTAGCTGTCCCCACCCATGCATGAAATGCAACTGATGCAGAGCAAAACGAGTGGGAACGGTTGTTTGAGCCTTCCTTAGCAAGGGCAAAGGCCTGAGGACACCAGCAGAGATAATGTGGTGGCTGATGATCTCCTGGCCCCTCCTGCTGGGCACCAGCTGCACTCAGGCTGGCTGCAGGCAGAGCCTGCCAACAGCCCTGCCGCTGTACGCAGGAGCGCAACGGAAACAGAAACGTGTCTCGCTTGGCCGTCACCCGCACAAGAAGTCCTGCAGCACCTGTGCGTGCCTGGAGAGGGCGGGAACAGCAACAGGGCAGCGTTGTGAAGCTCGGGGGAAAAGGGATCAGACTCAGCTTCCAAGTCCACGTGAGTCTTTCCATTGACATGGCAGGACTTTGGACCTGTGATGAGGGTGGGCTTCACCTCTTACTCTTTAGCAACCGTTCTGGGCCAAAGCAACAGTATCAGGAGTGGGACTGATCTCCTGTCTAAAGCACTGGTACCTCACCAAGACACTCAGGTTTCCTTGCTAACCAGTGGGGAGAGAAAAGCACCACCTGAGGTCAGTCTATCCTGCTGTCCCAGATGGCCACCCACTGCAGGACATTTCTTGCTCAGAAGGTGCTGAGGACACACCGAAGCTTTAGATGTCTGAGGGTGAGCGAGGTGTAGCGCACCCTCAGTTTTGTCCTCTAGCAGAGAGACCAGCAATGGCTTGGGAATGGTCATGGAGGAAGCTCAGAGCATGACAGTTCCTGTGTCCTTCTCTTACAGCTGTGTCTTCTCGCTCACCTCATTCCCAGCAAAGAGGCGGCAGGACTTTCTATCAAATCTCTTGGCAGACGACCAAAATGGGGGTTGGTTGAAGTATTCTGACCTCTCAATGGCCTTTGGATCGTACGAGCCCGGCCCTGCAGCAAACTGCAACAGAAGAGAAACGCTTACACTTCCCTTTGCTGGTAAAAAGAGCTGCACCACGTCGGAGGGCCACTCTCCCAGGCCCTACTGCAGTCCCGCATAGGTGCACGCAGCCGTCGCCCACGCACTGGTCCAGGGCTGGACCAGGGCCAGCAGGAGCCTCCGGGGAGCCCCACGAGCAGCGGCTGCTGC